CTATGTTATCATTAGCAGGTGGACTAAAGACAGCTTTCCTATGTTTTATCTTCTGTAATTCAAAAATGAAACACACCGTGAGATAACACTTGTGATGAGTTCTAAAGAGAATAAGGTTTTAAGCATATGGTCCCCTGGACGAAATGAGAATTTCGCTTGAAAACGGATACTTAAGGATAGACAGTCTAAACAAGAATTATTGATCTATTTTTGAAAAGTTGTGTGGGGTTGATGCGATAATGGAAAAAGATAAACGTATCATCTACATATCGGCAGTGTACGTTGAAATGTCGGACGGTGTCAAACATTTATTCATCCGTTTTACCAGAAAAATATCCGCTTGTATAGGATCCAACGATGATTGACTTTCGAATTTGTCATTAGGTAAGCTGTGTTCCGCACGATTCAGTGGTACATATAATTCGTTCATCAACCATAGAGGTTCACATCGTTGCAGTTCCCTCAAAACCCGTTCACTCGACATCCCCTCTACGCATACGGGTAATTGAATGAACGCATTCGATTTTCACGAACTCTAGGCCTTGTTGTTTACTGGGTTTCACTCTCTGGGTGACCATACATTCTAGAACACATTAGATAGCAGTGTAATAATCCTGGAACACTTTCATAGGGGATCGAACTGCAAACCGGCGGGTTGAGAGTAGCGCAATTGTAAACGTTCGACAACTAACCCACTCATCGGTTTATCAATCCGTTTCTGGGAAATAAACTGTGGTTGACGAGCCTCGGCAACAACCAAACAGGTGTCTATAGTGTCTTGTGTTGACAATGACACAACAACTAATAAGGACAAGAACATTCATATATTTCTTTCGTCATATTGTGTGCATTGCAAGATCTATTGGTGATTTGTGTGATGATATATGTTTCCGGGTTCGAACCGCTCAACTACAGCCCGTCTTCCCAGGCAGCCTTTGTATGGCCGCTGCCTTCCTTCCTGAATGTTGACTGTACATTCGTATATTCAATAAATGAAAAAGGAAGTAAAAAGACATGTTTTAAATTTATTTTAAAAAAAATTAAGTCCTCAGCCAATGTCTTTCTCTACGATGTGTTGCTTCTGTTTAACAGGAATCGACCATTTGCACCCACCTCAGGATCAGATGATGTTCTCTGACGGTGTCTTATTTAGATGACCGTGGGTGGTGGTGGCGCAGTGGTTTTCTTGGCTGTGCAGGTTGGAAAACTGAGCGCATCAGAAGCTTGGCCAGGTGGTGTTTGCGCTCCTTCCAACCAGCGAACAGATAACGGCGATCAATTTATTCAGTTCTGCACATAACCTCATCTGTTCCTATCAAGCACCAACTTCCGACACAGCACTCGACGGACGGCAACATGGCACTCCAGTTCAACTGGTACGCTAAATCAAATCGACCCCTTTGCGGTAAGCTACCATTGGCGTGGCTCAGTGCAAAATTACAGGTCACATTGGACCACCTGCTTTGAGTCTGACCACGATTTGGTTTGATGCAGTTCACTCTCGACTGATTGGTCCACGACAGAACCAGCAACCTCATATAGGTCATCATCGACTACCAGTAGTTCGTGCACTCTATGAATCAGAGCTAGTGTGTGAGCTAAGCGCTTCTCATCCTAATGATGTAGATTAACAGTGGGATAAGATTAGGCGTGTGATGCATACCGCAGCGAATGTTGCTTGCGGGTTTGAGCCTCAAGCCCATCGGAGATATTGGATATCTCCAGAGTCTCAGTAGCCCTGATGGATAAAAACGACAAATCTCAACCCCGTCAGGATCAAAACAGTTGGGTGGCATCTACAACGTCAGCTTACGAAGAGTCTTAAGAAGGACCGTGAGAACTGGTGGGCAACGATAGCTAGTGAAATGGAAGTAGCAGCTGCATCAGGGAATAGTCAAAGACTGTTCCAACTGATACGCTATAAAGGAGATCGGTGAACACCAGTTAGTGAAACAGCCTGTGATAAGAAGGGACAAGCTATACACACAATAGGGATCAACGACTTGATTGTTGAGTGGAAGACTTCAGTGAACAGTTCAGTTGGCCTGCCGCTAACCAGGTTATCTCGTCCGCAAAAAACGCTCCTTGGGCAGAGTCGGGCAATCCTCCACCGGAAGCAGAAGCTCGGTCTTGCATTCGGGTTCTGAAGGAAGGAAAGGAATCAGGACCGGATGAGCTCCCTCCAACTCTTTTCAAGATGGGGGGTGATAACTTCGTAAGCTCTATTACTACCCTACTGCGCAGCATTTGGAAACAAAAACACATTCGTTCATCTTGGAGCAAGTCACTGATCGTTCCCATTTTCATAAAAAGGATATCGCAACGATTGCGACTGCGGGATAAGTTTGATTTCTATCATCACGAAAGTGCTAGCGTCGAGTTTACTTTGAAATCTGACGCCTTTAGGAGAGGCCAACATCCGTGAACGGCAAGCCGGTTTTCGGCCTGGCCGTGGATGTATTGATCAAATTTTTACACACTGCATCAGGTCCTCGAGCTGCGTCACACCCACCGCCAACCAACGATCGCAGTGTTCCTTCACCTGAAAGGAGCTTTCGACTCGGTTGACTGCGAAGCTCTGACGAGTTCTCTTCTTTGAAAAGGAAGGCCTTCGGTCGTGTCAAGGTTTACAACGAACTAAATAAGTTGGCCGTTCGTCACCAGCAGCGGAGTTTGTCAAGGATGCCCTCTTTCGCCGTTCTTGTTCAAGTTCATTGTGGATGAAATACTGGATGATGCATTTAGTGGTCTCTAAAATGTAGATATTGAATGGGTAGTTGGAAAAAAGCTGTTTGATTTAAACTCCGCCGATAATATTGTCTGATAGACTAACAAGTGCGGTTGGCACATTCGGCACGTGCTTTGCACATTCAAAGTGCAAAGTGATGCTACAGGACTGGATTTCGTCGACTCCCGCTCTAAAACTAAATGGCCAGGATTTAGTTGTGGTGGATTGTTTTTCTTACTTAGGTAGTTGCGTGACCAATGACGGTAGTGCAGCAAAAGAGATAACCGCCCGCATTTCCAAGGTTCGAGCAGCGTACGCAGAATTGAAACACCTTTGGCGTAGACGCGATGTTTCACGGAAGTTGGAAGGTTGTGTATATAGTGCTGCCGTTCGTCCATCTGTACTCCATGGTTGTGAGACCTTGAATTTACGAGTAGAAGATATCCGTCGACTAGAAGTTTTCGATTTACAGCATTTACGTAGTTTAGCCCATTTGGGAAGGAAAGACCGGGTTAGAAATCTGGAGGTAATTTGTCGTGTCTTTCGGAATTTATCAGGGATGAACCTACTATCATACCGAATTCGGTGTGATAGCTCGCTAGGGCACGTATTGTGTATGCCCAGTCATCGTCTGCCGCACCGCACTTTATTCTCCTTAGCTAATCCGGGCTGGAGGAAACCACGCGGAAGTCCACAGATGACGTGGAGATGAGGCGTGACAAAATGCACAAAGCTATTAAGTAGAGTATGTGACTCACACCTACGTTGGAGTCCAAAAAACTCTACAACCACTTGATTGGAAACATTGAAGAATTTACAGATTAACCAACAGTACTGGCATTCTTGCAGTCGTTTTTATACGATCAAAATGCGTGAAAAGACATGTATGCAGAGTACGATTTTGCACTGTCTGTGTGTTGACCACGGTGATTCACCTTTCTCTCAAAATAGATCCAAATCCTGTCCATTTTAAATTTTACCACTAAGCTTGCATGCACTGCTAGTCTGGCAGCAATCATCTAAGCTGACCTCATTGTATTTCGCTATACGATCATGATGAAGCGAGGAATGAATGTATAAACGAAAAGATTTTATCCTATTCTAATAAAAATAAGTTATACAAATTAAACGGAACCTAGAGTCCCACAACGTTGCACAACAAAACTTGTCAAGAGACATGGAACCCAAGTAACTGAGTGGCCAATCCTCATTGGTGTTTCAGACAATCATGTACGTTAAATAAATAAAGCATATCTGTTCAACTGCAAACATATCCGTTGTATGTTCAATGGAATCTAACCAATTGTATTCAACTGGGTATCCCAGAAATTGGTTAGTCCGTCAGCTGTCACACGTCATCGATTTGATTTCGGTTAGATAGTGAATTGGTTCAAATTTGATCTCGCTGTTTAGGTGAGTAGTGTTCGCTCTTTCATTCTGTCTTTGTAACATTGTTAATTGTGTCTTCCAAAGTCAGAAATGTGTAGACGATCGCGCTTGGTTTAAAAGAAGCAAAACCTCAGTCCCAATGAAATTGACACACTAGGCTATTGAGGGTCCTGACTGAACCCACTCATCCAATGAATGATGCCAACATTCACGTCTGAGCATGTTGATCGATTTATGAATCGATCTTGAATTGGCCCTCTTCCTTACCCGACTGAAAGAGGTCAACTACGGCCAGATTTTATTCAATCCCGTCTAAAGCGTACTGGATGAACGGCCAAACACGTATCGTTCCCGGTGATGCACATCACACTGAAACATCCATCCTCGTTCGGTAACTCACCCAAAAAGTAACTTTGATTATGAGAAAATCAGTCCATTCCAACTGGACAGGGTTTTTGATAGACCCGGTCCAATCAGTGATGTGTGACTTTAATCCTATCGTAAACTACATTCTGTTTTGTCTTAGTTTTCACCAATTTTTGCCTAATCGGTTCTACTTTGGTCATCCAATTGCTGAATGTACACCTTTTGGGGTGCATAAGGTATTGCATAGAACTAAGACTGAGTAGATTGTTGAGACTCAGCTCAGATAGATTCAGTCTTGAATAATAGCTTATTATTAGTAATTTCTTATTGACGATTGAATTCAGCGATTACTTATCAATTTTCATAAGTTTGGAAACCATTTCAGTAATAGTAGTTAAACATTTTAATTGCCTAAACTGTTTGTTTATATTTTGGTGTCCCCGTGTGGAGACAAGAATTACCAAACAGTTTTCTTTGTTGTTACCCAGACATTGGATCAATTAGTTGACTGACGTACCTGAGGATAGTCCGCGGTTTTGAGTTGACACCAGAGCAACAGTGCATCGCGTGCATGTCGCATTTCTCCCGTCTCATCCGATTCGCGAACCACAATTGTTTGCACCTGATACAGTAAACCGGAATAGATGGGTATGGGGGAAGGGTATTGAATAAAATCTTTCCTGACAGCTTACGCAGTCAGTACACGACGAGTACGAGGTGCAGATAGATGATCGGAGGCAAGGAAAACGTGAACTGGAATCTTGTTTTGTGAATCTACTGTTCAGTGATTACAACTCACACACACGCACTCACACAATCAAAAATCACAACACGGCCGAGAGCACAGCATAATTCACAAGTCACATGAGGGTTGTTACATTCGAACTGTCATAAGGGTGAAATCAATCGATATCACTGGAGAGTGATGATTTACTGCCATCATACAAATATGTTTTGAAGCCTTTGTTGAGAAAGCACTTTCAAGAAACATCGTTTTTGAATGGTTTGAGAAATTCAAGCCTGGCTAGCGGTCCCAAAATGATGGAACAAGATGTGGTTTATCTGTGGAGTCCAGCATAGAGGACCACATTGTTGCTCTGCAAGCGATGATGAAGAACGATGCGTGGGCGACAGGACAAAGCTAGCGAAATCTATCGAGATCTCATCGTGAGCTCGGCCTCAGAAAAGTTTTCACACACTGGTTAGGTCATCAGCTCAGCGAGGAACAGAAAACAGTTCAGATGCATTAGTGGCCCCACCATGCTTGTCAAGTTTGCTGGTGGGTATCCCAATGCATTATGAAAGGCCATCAGTGGAAATGATGAGATTTGAGTTTACAGTTTCGACCCAAACAGAAACCAACAATCTGCTCAGTGGACGCCGGTTGGCGAGAAGCAGCTTGAGAAATTCCGACTGGAGCGCAATATGTCAAAGCAGATGTTGACTGTGATCATGGCTAAAAACGGTCATACGGTTACTGTACCGGGGCCTGTTACGTCACCCACCATATATATCGAACTGATCAGAGTGTTAGGCTCGTTGACATGGTCCAGCTATTTTACCAGAGGAGTTTGAGGACACGGTACTGTGAGCATGAACGCCGATAGAGAATAAGTGGAGAAAATATAATACTTCATTTCGGTAACAAATAAAACCTATTGCTCAGCCCTCGTCTTAGCTTTCATACGTGTGTGGCTAGTGTCACCGGTAGCTGCAGATCTTGAGTTAACGATGTTTTATATCCTGACGTGCTAAATCACTCATTTTTTTAATAATTCATTCAAGTCTCACTATCCACATTGACATAGATTTTCAGTCTGTTCATCCAGCTTATCCTGTAACCCACCTAGAGGTCATAGTATCTCACAATGTGTACTGAACTGTCCTTTTTGCTGCTCGAGATCAGGATGTTGAAATTCCCCAACCCCGGGACCATAATAAATTCCGTTTCGGGTATCTACCAAATTTACGTCTTTTAGTTGGCCGAAATCATCCGGATTTTAGTGTAAAAACCTCTTGTTTGTTATTTGGACAGTATCTGTTCCTTCAAGATACTGCCTGGAGCCACACAATCCCCCAGAAATACCCGATAGTTGAAAACGATACCGATTCCATAACTATTGTAAAACAATTCATGAGCTGTGCCTGAAAAATGCGTAGTAGATGGATAGATGTGTGATGAGAATTGTTTGGAGATAAAAATGCAAGAAGATATCGACCTAAATGGCAATGAAATTGGGTAATGATGATAAACTTTTGCCCACGATATGCCCTCGACGTGAGTCTTTGTGATTACATAAAAGCACCAGACCAGTCCAGGTGGCAATCACGACCGATCTCTTGCGTTCAACAGGTCTTTTGGCATTAGATTTTAACAATTACACGTCGTTTGACATGCACAATATGATACTTTCACTGTTCCGCTTCGATCCTTTATCATTTCATCCAGCCGGGACACAGTGGTTTAGTCCCCATCATCGGTGCCCTTTGGACCCTGCGGTCCGAGGTTCGAGTCCCACCATGCAACCAAACGTTGGTTGGTAGACAGCTTTGATATCGCCCGGTCCAATACCACGCCTAATTTAGAGAGGCTTTATGTGGTTTGCGACTTCAAGTCTCGCAGGGCTTTGAGTAACGGTTACTACTATCACTGAACATCAGGTTTTCGTGACTATGTGGGGTCCACCCCGTTTGGTTTCGATCACACACACACACACCGGTGTGTAATAGAAAAACAAATTCCACCAAGACCCTATCAATACCTGTGAGTCATGATGCTTTGCGGTGTACAGACATCAACCCACTGCTCTTTTATTGTCACTTCATCCTCAATAACGTACACACTGTCTGCTGACCACGTGAACCATTCTCTAGGTTGAACACTTGGTGATGATCGTGTTTAAGCTCGAAACCTGCAACTCCAGTTGATTTATTGATCATGTGTGTTTGGATTACATCATTGTGTAATTTACTTTGTACTCAATAAAGATCAGTATTATATACTAAATCGTGTGTTTCATCTAGGTTTTTATGCGTATCACTCTCATTTTTACCTTAATTTTATCGAATGCACAAAATACAAATTTTCAGAAAGGTGTGTGGAGGGGGGGGGGGAAGTGATCAGTCAGTGGGCTGTCATATAACACATCCTAAAATGGGGAAATTCGGGCGAGGGTGATGGTGGGATTCAAACATACGTCCTTTTTCCGGGATGATAATTTGGTGATACGATCATCGGGCCACCACCACTGCCCAGACTGGAGATTGCGAGTTTCTTTTTTGCAATTCTGAACTTTGGCAATCCACTGGATGAATGTGTGCTACTCAAATTCGAATTCGAAATAGTCGAATCGATCACAAATTTAGGTGGAAGCTTTCCAAATGATGAACAAGAACGTTCCCATGGCAACCAATTACCGTGGTCAAACCCTAAGCTTTGTTATTCGAAAGAACAATTGTTTTAGGCTGAACAAATAACGTTTTGGGACGAAAGTCTTAGAAAATAATCAAATTGATTAGACAAACCACGTTTATTCCTAAAAACACACATTGCTAAGGGAATGGTGTAATAAACTGAGGCGGGTGATGCACTCAGAGTAAACGTCACACAGACCTTATCTTTCCAGTACAAACTTCAAGTTCGATAGTGTGCACGAGACCTCCGTGGATGTTGTCTACATTTCATCGAACCTCCACCTCTTCTCCGCCTCGTTTGTTCACACTTGTTCAATAGCCAACAAATTGAATAACAAAGAAAACTTGTTTATGCATGGAACGCTTAGAATGCCACTAAATGGATAAGGGACTGCATTCCAAGACTTATGTTGAAAAAAAACTGATAAAGATTGGAATCATTTGGCCTGTACTCCACACAGTCTCGCCGAATCCGAGGGGACTTGATTTTGGGTGTATGAACTAATGCAGAAACCTGATCACCCATGTCGTTCACTGTTCAAAGTTGTCGCCCAACACGCACCTCAGGGCGAAGTCTTTCAAATTAGTGAGTGCTTCAGAACTATCGACTAGAATGCCAGCATCATTCATTTGCCCTCAAGTGGTGAATGAAACTTTGTCAAGTCTAAAAATTTTCACATCTATAGGAAAGCACAAAACAATGAAAATTGGTGACATTCCTCGTTTTTCTATGAACCGTTAATCGATTCTTTTGTACTAAACTCTATGGGATAAGCAAGTCAACCGTTGATGGATATTTCCCATTAAAAAAATTTGACTTTGCATCTGTTGTACGAGAATTACTTACAATTGGTTTTACAAGAATCGGTTCAAGACAGTCATAACAATTTCACCCCAGTTCGATTTCTATGCGGTTCTTATAACGATTCGGGAAGCACCTACCCTTGTATTCAAATGGCATATGAGGAATCGCTAGATTTCATTGGATCCCGTAGTTCCTCTTGGCATCCAGATCCGGTAAATGGCAATCAACCGGATTCTTAGACAGTGATTTTCTAGAGTTTGTATCTACTATATTGCCACTCCACTCGCTTCAGTCTACTCCAAATCACAAAGTTTGGACTGTAATTTTTCACCAGTGCATAACACCTCATCCTGACGACGATGTGTGGTCGCGTTACACTTGACTGAACTGTATTCACTAATGAAATATCGTACACACACGTACACATACAGTCAATACAAAAATGATTTTCACTTCGATAAACAGTACTTACAAAAATAAAACAATACTGAAACTGGGAAGGTTTAGGCATCCAAAATAAGTTTTCAAACAGTCTTGCAAGTCTCATTGTTTCGCACTATCTAGTGAAACCTTGACCATATAGGTGTATGTACGAACGTGTATGCATCTATGCCGTGTGTAAGAAAAATCCAATTGGGTTAAATAATTTCGGCGAAAATATCAAGAGTGAAACGAGTGGAAAGAGTGAGAGAGAGAAATCACTGTGGAGATATTGTCAAGATCAACCATAGCGCGGTTGTCAGTCCAACACAAAACAATCACAGGCGAACTAGGTCAACGTTGGTGTAGCTATAATCCAGCAAACTAACGCGTATTATCACTCGAACACCGGTGCTCTGGTTTGTGCACCGGTTTTGGGTTGCTGTCTTTTGGTCGCCCAGCAGAATGAAGATCGGAAGATTGAGAGTAAAGTTAAAAGTGGGATAGAGAGATAATTTATATAGATTGGGGTTACAAGAATAATGAGTAGATGCACGAATGCCACTGTTTACGACACCCAGCCATATCACTCAGTGTCTCCAACAATCGGTTACGATCATCCCGAGGTCCCCATCCAGGAAATCTAACGGGGTTTATTTGATTGAGTCTTCTGGTTAGGGTTTTGATACCCTCATGCTAGGTCTACGCTTGATCACCGTTGACTTTTGCTCCATCCGCTACTTGCCTCGGTAAACTACGCTCTGGCTAAACACAAAATACAAACTCTATTAAACCGTAAATGTTTACAATAGAAATAAACCAGAGTTATGAACAATGAGCTATTCTTTGTAGATTGAGGGAAGGTGAAACAACTGAAAAAAAACCGGTGAATTTCATGTTTGATCCCCAGAGGAAACTGCCCTCGTCTCCCCTGACAGTAATGCTGGCTGAAGAGATATTACTTCGTGAGTGGCATTCGCCTTCGTACAAACACAATTCAGGAGCAATTTCAGTGAGTGAATGATGGATTGAGGACGTGTAGCGTTTATTGACGATTCTAAAAAGCTCAAGTGTTGTTTAGTAAAGCTTATCAACTGGGAGGTCGTTTGCCTATTGTTTCGTAGCTCTAGTATTCAAATCCATCACAAATCCGTGCTTCCTCATTCATCGTTGGCGAGTGTGATCGCGTAACAGTTTCACCAGGAATAATTTTCACGCCTACGGAGCTACAGAAAATATATTAGTGTGTAATTACTCAGTGGGGAAGATTTGTCGATAGGTGGTCTACTGGGAAGCGGGAAGATCGTACAAAACTATTGCATTGTATTGTGTATAACTGCTGCAAGCACTGAAGCTTAAAGTTCAGTTAAAAACCTGTACACGTCAACCGTCACGGAGAACACATTCAGCAAAGAAAACGTGTTTACACTTATCGTGATATTTCATAGTTTAAGATTAAGACAAAGTTCACATGTTACTCTCTCTTTGTTTCAGAGTGAACGTGCAAGATAAGGTATGCGTGAATTTTGGTAAGCGTTCATAAAGTTGGTGGAATTGACAGTGTGGTGGGATGGGAACGACAAATTGTTAGTTCTGCATGCAATGAGTGGTCAGGATATGTGAGAATGCTCTCAGCAAATTTCACACAGGAAGTTGTTGGATACTCCGAAATTTTCACAGCTCAGTCGTTCACGGGAATGGAAGAAACAGGGCTAATAATGGCCCAGACTGTGGCGTTAAAATTTGAAATCCTGTTTGAGTAGGCCAGGAAAAATAACTGGGGAACAGTAGAGTAAGATGAGGAAAACACACCGATAAACAAAGATAGAGATAACTGACTGGGATGCGTAAAACTGTCTGAGCTTTGAATTTGAAATGATACTAATGCAGTCGTGCATATAGTTCGACCAATGAACATTGCTATCTGTGGTTAGACCAAGATATTTGACAGAGTTCACCCTAGATAAATGTGAGTCCACATCTCAGTCATCTCTTTTGTCCATACATGCTATCCCGTTTCCCATCTGACTAATTCCACCTGCCACAATTCCTATTTTGAGCTTATATTTTTTAACATGTGCTTTGTCAAACTGACTCAGGGGCTCGGTGCATTTACATTTGAAGTTTCCAATTTCATCACATTTGATAAACCTACAAAAGCTTACTTGTCTCATGGGTACTGAAGGAGGAAATACTAGGTTAAATGATGATACAACAGTCACAGAAAACCTGTAGGCTGTGGTAATCCAGATTCTTCAACAGAACTGAAAGTTTCGAATGTCTTCCAATGGAACTGGTCGACCGAGAGGTCGTCTGCATATTATGTTGTAGTTCTTGNCTGTGACCGTGACGCACGTCATACTCGACAGGTGAATTTGTAGATAGGGTGCACCCGGACAACAGCACTCGGATCGTGGATCGAATTTCGAGAACAATTTACCGCAGAAAGTGTGCAAAGGGAAGAACAACAGCCTACCACGCTCAGGGAAACGGTTAAGTAGAGAGAACAAATCGCTCGCTAAAGGCTGTGCTGAAAGCCTTCTTAGACACTAAAACCAAGGCGTACTACTGTGTACTGTCACGCTGTCTTCTCTCAGCACCNCAGCACCACATTTCCTATGAACCGGTAGGAAGTGTGTTGTTTGGCCTGTAAATCGTTCGCCGGTGTCGGTAGGCCTCCGATAGCCTCAGTATGGTCGGGATAGGATGTCCAAGGTTGCGGTTGATCACCCTTCCCTTGCACTTCGGGAAATGCTCCCACTCAACCAAGCGTCTCAGATAGCTTCTGCTGAGGAACCCAGACCCGCTGCTTTCTGATGATGATTTTCACCCTCCAGAAGAAATTGGCCAAAAGGATACAAGCAAAACGATCTACTTGCTCGTTAAAGAAGACGCTCTGTTCTGTGGCTGAACTAGCTGTTTTAAATCGGCTTTCATAAGTATAAACCGCAGGCAGAACTACTTTCCTATTGCTACTGATAGTTTTCTATTGTTCAAGAGTTTAGTAGAAGTGGCAGGGTTACCCGAGTTCGACAGACGAAACACATCAACCTGAGTGAACAACTGAACAATACAATCCGCACCGAGGGGAGTGCGATATTAAACCGAAGATTTCACACAATGCCATTGTTAATAACTTAAAATTTATAAAACCCGGAAATTCAAACGCATATTAGAACAGTTTTACCAGACAAAATATCAAATAAACGGGGAAGACTTTGGATTCTAACGACCTTACCTAATCCAATTACGAGTGTCTCACACGTTAGTATCACGGACGGATGAACGGACAGAGATGTGTTGAAAGAGCAGAAGGATCTGTTAGCCGACAGTGATGTACCTGACGTATACGGGAATAAATTCCCATTAATTTGCTGGACACACTCGGGTTATTGTTCCCACTTGTGACCGTTGTCGTAACAATCGGTTGTAGTTGTGTGTCGACTAAGAAGAAAATCAAAAACATGGACCAGAGTATCACTAAAAGGCTTGCTCATGCTTTCCCAACTCTTGTCCAACATAGAGCAACATCTCGCCCGTTTCAAGATAGGCGAGAATCGTGTTTCGTGAGCTGTGGGTCTTAAAGATCTGCAGGCGGTCTGTATGGTCCGATCACTATGTCGTTGCAGCTGAAATAGCTGACAATGCACTGACTCTCTGTCTGCAAGGTGACGCTTCAATAACTGACACGTTCAACCTATCCAATGCACCATTTAGCACGATTGTCACTCAGCTCGCTGCCATCTCTGCTCACCTAGATAGGTTAGAGCGGAAACTGTAACTGCATTGTCTCGTACCAATAGTTGGTATTACCCCTGGATCCTAAACCCAGAAGCCGCCTCTTTCAAATTCAAGATGGACTTACTGAGGTTTATGTTTCAGCAGAAACGGGAGCGGAGTTCAGTGTTAGTCTTTCATCCACTACCACCAAATCCTCCTTCACTATGAGCATACGTTCAGGCACTCTTCTCCTTTTCTAACATGGAGTCCATCGGGATTGTCAATATTCTAATGTTACCTCTTTAGCTAGGTCTTTAATCTTCGTTTAACTCAATACCACCTGCGGTGAAGTAACTCCACTTTGAACTGTGCGTGAGGTTAGTGCTACTAGTTTCGCTTGCTAAACCTTTCATTGTCAGATAATAATCTCGAGCGTAGTAACGCGTAAGTTCCAGTTATTTCGAGGGGCCAATATATTTGCCTTTGACTAACTGGTTATTGCTGCGGGGTTGTCAAGACTCGAGGGGTATTAGCAATCGGACCGCTTCCACAGGCCGCAAAGTAGCAACACCACACCAAATGTAACCCAAGATTCATCAAGTCCGGCAATTTGAAATCATCTTAAAAGAACTAATTTGTCAGACAAAATGTGAATGAAACGGGGAAGAAAACAATCCGAACAGAGACCCACACTCGAAGATATGAGACGGGACTGATTGTGACGACCTCGTTTAATCCAATTACGCGCATCTCACACGTCAAGGTCACGGACGGACGAGCGGGCGAGCAGCGGTGCATTGGAAGAGTAGAAGAATCTGTCAGCTGATTGTGATTTTCCTGAATGAGACGGGAATAAATTCCCATTAATTTGCTAGACACACTCGGGGTACTAGTCCCACTAGTGATTTTTATCACAACAATTAGTTGAATTTCAGTTGCACACGAGGTCAATCGGAATGGGAGAAATTAGTACTACTTTGATTGGCGATTTGAATCGTGAAACGCAGTCATGAACCATCCGTTCATCGAATTGTACACGTAGGCAAACTTAATGAATTCGGTTAGTGAGTAGTATAGATAACTGATATTAGAGAGCGAGAGTTTATGAGATGCTGTGTTTTGAATACCGTTCACTCCAAACCCATCAAACCCGCTTAAGATTCACGCTGATTCGCTTTCCCAAGTACATTTGTGAATGAATTTGCGTAGCTATTTACAAAAGTTATTTATTATACACCGGTATTTTTTTTGCATTGACTTATGTGTCCGTGCCGGGGTTTGAATCCGGAACGGTGACATGTGCAGCTTCCAGATTATCTTTTCGGTTCTCAACCGGAAGATCAATGTTTCATTCCTGCACAATCCTGCCCTTCTGACGGATTTCTACACGTTAGAACCCAAAATTTGCTGTGCAGTTTTCTAATATTTACAAGAAATTTCTTTGCACGGATCAGAAGAATTCTGTGTCAAGATAGACCCCGAAAAGAAGACTATTAGGGAATGCAACAAAAAAAGCTATCGGTTATCAACAGATTTGAATATGAGTGTGGTTTGTAGCTCAGGTTGATGGTTTGTGGGGTCTTGACCAACGTACTGACGATGTCACCTCGGCTGGTGATGAAACGTTTGTTATCTAAACGCCAAGCTCAGCGAACACAAGACCCCACAAGCTATCGGCTATTTCATTTTTGTTCACATTTCACATTCTGAACTATCAAAATCGTACCGATCGATTGCTGATCAATTCACATGGAATCATTGGTCACAAAATAATTAGTTACTCCAAAAAGTATGCTAACCGTTGCTGAGCAAAAACAATTGTAAATGAATGAGTACTGGTCGTAGCTTGAGAATGGACGAGTAAAACCATGACTAGTGAAAATCTGACTCGAGGTTAAATAATAATGAATTATTTATGGGATGAATTCATCTTCGTGTAAATCAGTCGCGAGCTGAAAAGCTGGGAATCATTGGACAACAGCTGTTTCGATCTGGTTGGGGTTCTTCAGCACAGTGAGCGAATCAATGCATCGACTCGACTGGGGATCGAATGGATTGCCCAGAATTACCCAGTTTCACAACATGTGAGGGGTATCTCCGGATTGGTGCCACAAGTATGTACGGTCACTTTCGTTTCAATTGTCCACCTAATCCGGTATTGTAAAGTGAAAAAGCTAGGAGTTGCATCGGTGACAACTCTGCAGGCCGATTATGAAGGGGGGGGGGATGGAAGACGCGTGCCTCATACGAGGAGGAGGGGGGGCTTGTTCTCTCAATGGGCAACGGGGTTCTACTACGCGTCGAACGAAAAATGGTGCATCATCCCCTCTCCTGGTTTCTTTCTTTGAGTTCGAATAAAAGGCACAGCAGCAACCATACAGCAACAGTCTGCTTGCTGTCTTGCAGTTCCCAATTGGCTGTACAAAGACCGGAGGCAAAGTTTAGGGACTTTGTGAATATCTGTTGCATCAGACTCCCATATCACATGGCTTGGCCATCCGCAGAAAGATTCAGGTTTATCTTCTCCAAAGGATCACACAAACAGTGCAAACATTTAAACAGTGTATTACTGTGGTGATCCGGGCCTACCAGATAACGCGTACCAAGGAGCGACGCGTTACAGTTCTTTGGACAACTGCAATCAATCAAACTTCATGGGTGACGTCAATAACGCTCGTACGTGTCACCGCTTCTGGACTACATACCATAGGTCGACTGTACCAGCCAACCAGAGATCATGAGGCTCAGACAGAAGCGAAGCGATGCAAGCAATACTGACACGCGATTGATAGAAGCTCTAATAACCAATCCAATAACCTAAAAAGATAAACCTAGCACCTAGAAATAACCTAAAAATGATCAAAAAAGGCAAACCACGTCCAGTACTCAAACCGCGCGCGGTGGTTCCCTGACCTTGTGTACAAAGTAAGTAAATTTCAGGTCAGGTCAGGTCAGATCACAGGACTTGTGGCTGGAGCCAATATGTTTCCAGGTTCTTACACCCCGAGCTCCGTGTTCTCGTGGTGCTTTGACTGCCAAGCGTTCCTTTGACCCAGCTTATCTGCATTAGTTGTATGCGGATACGATTCTGCCCGGTCACCGATATTCAGTCCTGGAATTTGGAAATGTTTATAATTTGGGAAAACGGCCTAGTGTGGAGTTGGTCTAGTCTACAACTGCGTGAGTTGCATTTATGGTCATCATAATGAGATAGTGACAATGGATAAGATACGAAGTATAAAGAAAGGGGGTAAATACTTTAGGAGGTATCAGCATTTCTCCGAGGTGTATGTATCGCAGAAATCCGTCTCCAACAAGCTGTCGCAGCTCACCCACTCACTCCCAATGACGGTTAGCCACCATCTTGGGTTCACACTTCGGATCAATCTGATTTCGGCCGTGCATACATAAGCGAAACCAGACATTCTTACATGATACATTAGCCTCTTATGGT